CTTAATGTCTCACCCTCCATTCCTATTGTTAATCTATCAAAATTATAATATAATACATACTACCAGACAAATACTAAGATTTTTCCAGACAATATTTCTAGGATCAAAATGGCCACCAAACGGAGTTCAATCCTCCACCGGTATTAGAAATGCAGGCATCAACTAAGAGACATGTCCCTAAAAAAACTCTAAGCTCCTTAAATGTATACCTACACTATTTAAACTTCGAAATTATAAGTGAAAGTTAGTTGTTTGACTCCAAAAGTTGCAAAATACTTTTTATCCATTGTTGAATCTAAAGAAATTTGAATTGGCACCCTAAAACTGATTCATTTGAAGTTTTGAACTCTATCTGCATGCCAATTTGAAAGTTGCAAATATCAACAGTTATGAGAACTTGGAATCATTTTCCTTTTAAATTGATCACAAGTTGAATCAGATATTCTTCGGAAAAATTCAAGTTGTAGTTGTTTTTAAGAATGTAGATTCTACCATACGAAAGCAAGAGATTCCAAAGATGGACAGTGGAAATATATCGTAGTTTTGAGGAAGTCCTTAATGCTTGGGTGGTCAAGGTGGTGGGTGCCGTAATGTGACGTCTATAGTTTCCCTCTTACCACTTAACTCTGAGATGAAAAAAAAAACAAAGAAAGAACAAACAATTCTTCCACACTTCTATGTTTAAAATACAAATCATAGTTTTGGAAGAATAATGGTTTGTTGTGCGGTTTACCATTGTAAATGATTTATAATTTTTCATTTTATCTATAGCATAGAGTACGCATGATAGTTATGTAAGTGCCTCTTCGAATCATGTATATATCACCGATCATGCTGATTTATCCAATTGGAAAATTCTATTAGGCCTTTTGGGGGATAATGGTTTATAGTGACATTTATTGGTGCCAGCAGTTGGTTGAAATTTGTTTTATAGAAAGTATAACGTATACGTGATATTCATTTAAGCACGTCTTCGGATCGAGTGTAAGTCGTCAACCAAGCCGACTTATTCGCTCGGGTCATTCTATTAACTTTTTGGGTGAATAATGATTGCTTGTGCCGTTAACTATTTCAAACCATAACTAGATTTGCATTTTATGGAAAGTATAGCATGTACATGATATTTACATAAGTGCCTCTTTGAATCATGTGGTAAGTTACCGAACATGCCAACTTCTACATCGGCCCATTCTGTTCAGCCTTTGGTTCAGAGCCGAAATCTACCACAAGTCAATTAGGCTTAACATAAGACCTGGATATTCAGGGTTAAGAACCTGTTTTACCTTCACCCCAAACATGTTAGCCTGTAACTGTAATTCATGTGATGCATCCAAACTGGCCTAATTCTCTACACAAAACTAGGCACCACCAGTTTTAAAGATGAATGGTGGAGGTGAATCATAGTACACACAATAAGACCTATCTGCCATCCATTCCAAAGATCAAAAGATCTGATGTCACCAAGATGGTGCATAGCATATAGCCTTGCACATTATGTGTTTTTTAGAAGCTCTAAATTTAGTTAAGTTGACACTTAGAGAGGCACCCCTAAACTTTAGGGTTAATAAATTAATATTAAAGAGCGTTAATTCAAAAGCCCAAGGAATCAAAGCTTCATTTCTGTCTTTTGAAATGAGAGCATGCGCATATACTAAATTAATATATATCTCATTAAGTCATTAATTTATCCCTAATAGAAATCATTCAAGCAGTAACATTCATCGAACATAATTTGGATTTTGGACACTAACAAAAAAAGTATGAATATTTAGCTTAAGCAAAACAGCCGAGTGGGATTAAAATTTCCATTTTTTCCATGGTTTCTTAACTCACTTTTTCTTTTCAAACTCTTTTGAAAAAGATTAGAAGTTTGAAATAATTTTTTTAAAATGAAATAAAATTTTTGGAAAGTTTTACTACGTAACCCCTTACGCTCTTATCGAAGTTACAGTCGTGAATAGTTTGAGATAATTTTTTGAAAGCTAAAACTCACACTCACGAGTAGTGCCATGCCATCCATTCTAGCATACCAGTACAACTCTAGGGCGATCTTATTTTTAATCAGAAAGAAAAGGCCAATCAAACGGGATCATAAGATTTATATCAAAATTGCCCAAGGTCTACCCTAGACTGATGCATGTTAACTCACCGTAGCCTACTAGTGTATCAATTTAGGACAAAACCCGAACCTTTTTCTCATAGAAACATAATATAATGCGGAGATTGATGCTTCAACATAATGTCCCACCCTCCATTCCTACTGTTAAACTATCAAAATTATAATATAATACAAATACTAAGAAAAAGATTTTTCCAAACAATTTTTCTAGGATCCAAGTGGCCCTTAAAAGAATAGTCATACCAACCGGAGTTCAATCCTCCACCGATATTCGAAAATACAGGCATCAACTAAGCGACATGTCCATGAAAAAAACTTCAAGCTCCTTAAATGTGTACCTATACTAGTTAAACTTTGAAATTATAAGTGGAAGTTACTTGTTTGATTCTAAAATTTGCAGAGAACTTTTGATCCATTGTTGAATCTAAGGAAATTTGAATGGGCACCCTGACCCATTTGAAGTTTTGACCTCTATCTACATGCCATTTTGAAATATGAAAAGATTAACAATTCTAAGAATTCGGAATTGTTTTCTTTTTAAATTGATCACAAGTTGAGTTATTCAAGTTGTAGTTGTTTTTAAGAATATAGATTTTACCATAAGAAAGCGAGATATTCCAAAGAAGGATGGTGGAAATACTTGTAGTTTTGAGGAAGGCCTTTAGGCTTGGGTGGTCAAGGTGGTGGGTGCCATAGTATGACGTCTAGAGAATAACGGTTTGTTGCGTGGTTTATCATTGTAAATGATTTGTAATATTTCATTTTATGTATAGCATAAAATACACATGATATGTGCCTCTTTGGATCATGTATGTATCTTATGTAAGTGCCTCTTCGGATCACGGATCATGTATGTATTGCCTATCATGCCGATTTATCCGGTTGAGAAATTCTATTTGGCCATTTGGGTGATAATGGTTTATAGTGCCATTTACTGGTGCAAGCGGTTGGTCGAATTTTGTTTATGGAAAGTGTAACGTATACATGATATTCATGTAAGCACCTCTTCGGATTCAGTGTAAGTCATCAACCAAGCCGACTTATTTGCTCGGGTCATTCTATTAACTCTTTGGGTGAATAATGATTGCTTGTGCCATTAACTATTTCGAACCATGATGGAAAGATAGCATGCACACGATATTTACGTGAGTGCCTCCTCGAATCATGTGTAAGTTACCGATCAGGCCGACTTCTACGTCGCCCCATTCTGTTCGACCTTCGATATGGAGCCGAAAGCTACAACAAATCAATTAGACTTAACATAAGACCTGGATGTTCGGGCTTAAGAACCTGGTTTACCCCTACCCCAAACAGGTTAGCTTGTAACTACAACTCATGGGATGCACCCAAACTACCCTAATTCTCTACACAAAACAGTAGGCACCACCGGTTTTCAAGATGAATGGTGGAGATGAATCATAATACACACAGTAAGACCTATCTGCCGTCCATTCCAAAGAAGGACAGATATGATGTCACATGATGTCACCAAGATGATGCATATCATATAGGCCTGCACATTTTGGGTTTTCTAGAAGCTCTAAACTTAGTTGACACTAAGAGAGGCACCCCTAAATTTTGGGTTAATAAATAAGATTTAAGAGCCTTAATTCAAAAGCCCAAGGAATCGTTGTGTCTTTCGAAATGTGAGCATGCGCATATACTAAATTGATACGTCTCATTAAAACATTAATTTACCCCCAAAAATGACAAGGTACCCTTTAAGGCCATAGCATGCATCGAATCATCTTCAACAATTGGAAAAAAAAGCAAGATTCACAATTGACAACTAGGAGAGATAAAGAGATGCACACAAAATCATGAAATTATCCCTCTCTAAATTTCAGCGTGGAGTAAAATTAGAGCCCCCATTTTTTTAAAAGAAAATGGAAATTTGTGTTACGGGTTGTACCTTCGAATAAAGTCTTTTTTTTTTTTTTTTCTTTTTAAGGAATTTGTTAATTTTTTCAAAATCATTTAAATATTAAAATTTGAAATAATTTTGAAAAAGCTTTGACCCTAAACTCTCTCTCGTCTTAGGATTCCCCCAAATTTAGATTTGGAGATGATTTAGGAGACCGTTGTCGAAAATTTGGACTCATTTTAGCTTTCAGTTTGGAGGAAAAAAAAACTAATTTCAATAATCCAGAATTAATGGGTCCTTTAGAGAGAGAGAAAGGTGGTAGGTAGAGAGAGAGAGAGAGAGAGAGAGACGTCCGGTCGGGTCCGGGGGGGGGGGAGGAGAAGAAGAGTAGGGACGAACAGTGACTCATTTACTCTTTCTTTGTAGAGAGAGAGAGAGAGAGAGAGAGA